GCAAACTGATTGGACTATATCAGTGTGGCTTCAGGCATGGGAAGTCAACCATTGACTAGATATTCACCATGCGCCAAATCTTCGAAAAGACCCGTTAAAAGCGGATTGGCCCACACCACCTCTTCGTCGATTTTACACCCGCCTTCGACAGCGCGAAAAGGAACTACTTCTACGTCGCTTTGTCTGAATTTGGTATCCCCGCCAAACTTACAAAGCTGTGTAAATTGACCTTAAGTAATACTGAAAGCTGAGTCAGGATCGGGAAGGAATTCTCTGCGCCGCTCGATACCAAACGAGGTTTCAGACAAGGTAACTCCAACATCAAATTGAAGAATTCGTACGATAAGGAGTCACCCTGTCTGAAATCACTTTAGGTACCGAACGGCTCGGTAAAGACCTTCGCAATTCTGACTACGTTTCTGGTATTGTACAGGGTCAGATTACACAGCCACATAAGTTCAGTTGATGGAGGGCCTTAGTTTTTCGTACAATATGCTCGATAGGACCTTATATGCGGTATTGAGGAAACTACAATAATTAGCACAAACCATGGGGTCCCCTTTTTAGGCAAAGAACACTAAGATTTCAAGCGTTTGACTTGCTTTCACCCGACCATATTCTACAAGAAGCAATAATAATTGCTTCATAATAAAGTATTTCGGAAGTGAGCATACAAATCACTGTAGAAATATCTGAAGAATTGAGGCAGCAAACAATTATCTGCGACCTTGTAATGTAGGCAAGGTAACATATAAACCATAAAAACCTCTTATAAGGCAAAAGGGTTTTGTTTTTAAACTCCTCCCAGTGAAGTTTCCTTATAAACAGACAATGTGCCTTCCAGCAACGAGCAAAGCGAAGTGGGAAGAGAAAGCTCTATGAGACAAAAATTAGTGTAAATAAATAGAAAATTGAATTTTATTCCCAATTTCACCATAATGAATTGCCGCAACCCTGTATTCGAAGAAAAATAAAATTCCACAGTCTTTTTTTTTTTCTAAATATCCATAGTTTACACATGTATATACATGCACACATGCAATTATATCTATGCCAACATTAGAATGAAGAATTGAGGAACTATTCTGCAAACAGAACTTAAGCCAATTAGTTGTGAATAAACGTGAATGACTCTTCCTCGAGAGCAAATAAATTAATTGCTCATTTAAGATGGAACTTGGACACGACATGGCGTGAAACATTATATGCAGAAGCGTAATGGACTCTCTTCAGACGAGTATGTGCATAGCTAGGTATGTACTCATGCCTAATGGCATCCTAAAAGCACCAAAAAAGAGAAAATAGAAAAGCAACTGAAACTAATCGTAGTCTAAGAAGTCATTGAGCATTTGCAAAGGAGCAGGAGAAATAGGGGAATAACGGAAGGTTAAATATTTGCGGCACCAATAAAAGTGGGTGCAAGTGAGTTGAAGTGGTGTAGTGTATTACGTATTGTTATTGTAATTCAAGTGTTTGTTATGGAGGTGAGTAATATGGCGTACTTTTTTCAGTTTTCTTTGTTCCTCTTTTTTTGCTTTCGCAGATATCTTCCAACAGGATGTTTTGTCATGAAGTTAGGATGTGTTTTTTCTTTCCTACAAACAAGTTGTAAACACTAAAACACTATTTGCAGAGAGTTGCGTGAACTTTTATTTTGATCTGAAAACCACTATTAATTTAATAAAAGCAAGAAGGGAGTGGTTTTTGGTGACGATGCTTGAGCGTATACCGAATTTCATGCTCTTAGAAGTATTTAGACGAAGTTTTGACTCAAAACCTCATTTTTGAAAATCTCGGTTGTACGGGAGCTATATTATATATACCTCCGATTTCAACAATTCTTAGTTACAATGTTTGTTTTTGGATAAAAATGTACAATACAAAATTTCAAGTCCCTAGATTATTTTCTGACGGTTTTTTTACCCAAAACCTTATTTTTGAAAAACTTGGTTGCATGGGAGCTATATTATATAGTCCTCCGATTTCGATGATTTTTGGTGACGATGTTTGTTCGTATATACGTGAGTAGAATACCGAGTTTCATGCTCTTAGAAGTCTTTTCGACGGATTTTTGAACCAAAATCTCATTTTTGAACATCTTGGTTGTACGGGAGCTATATTATATAGACCTCAGATTTCGATAATTCTCAGTGACAATGTCTGTTTGTATACACGTGTGTAGAATACCGATTTTCATGCTCTTAGGAGTCTTTTCGACGGATTTTTGAACCAAAATCTCATTTTTGAACATCTTGGTTGTACGGGAGCTATATTATATAAACCTCCGATTTCAACAATTCTCAGTTACAATGTTTGTTTTTGGATAAAAATGTATAATACAAAATTTCAAGTTCCTAGATTATTTTTTGACGGTTTTTTTTCCCAAAACCTTATTTTTGAAGAACTTGGTTGCATGGGAACTATATTATATAGTCCTCCGATTTCGATGATTTTTGGTGACAATGTTTGTTTGTATATACGGAGGAAGAATACCGAAATTCATGCTCTTAGAAGTCTTTTAAACGGACTTTTGAACCAAAATATCATTTTTGAACATCTCGGTTGTACGGGAGCTATATTATATAAACCTCCGATTTCAACAATTCTCAGTGACAATGTTTGTTTTTGGATAAAAATGTATAATACAAAATTTCAAGTTCCTAGATTATTTTCTGACGGTTTTTTTTTACCCAAAACCTTATTTTTGAACAACTTGGTTGCATGGGAGCTATATTATATAGTCCTCCGATTTCGATGATTTTTGGTGACGATGTTTGTTCGTATATACGTGTGTATAATACCGAATTTCAAGCTCTTAGAAGTCTTTTCGACGGCTTTTTGACCAAAAATGCCATTTTTGAGCATCTCGGTTGCATGGGAGCTATATTATATAAACCTCCGATTTCAACAATTCTCAGTGACAATGTTTGTTTTTGGATAGAAATGTATAATACCGAATTTCAAGTTCCTAGGTTATTTTTTAACGGAGTTTTGACCCAAAACCTAATTTTTGAACAGTCGCTTTTATGGTGGCTAAATGATATAGTACTACGATTTCGATCATTTTCAGTATCTGTATGCGGTATTTGTAAATTCGCGAATTAAACACTATTTTTCTTTTGTTTTTAGATGCTTTCTTATGGATTTATGATCCCAAATCTTCAAATCATTAAAATCGGTCGTACACATGGTATATTGGTCCGATCTGGCCGATTCCGACAACTACTAATTTGCTAATATATTATATCTACGTACTAAATTTGGTTAAAATATCTCAAAAACTGAGAGACTAATTTGCATACAGACAGTCATAGATGACTAAATCAACACAACTCGTCGTTCTGATCACATTGGCTTTTAAGGGTCTAAGTCTTCTCCTTCCGGTAGAAACATATAAAATAATATATACTTCGAACCAAAATTAATATACCATTACATGTTCATTTTATTTAAACAACAGTAAAAACTATTTTCTGGAGCAAACTAGAGAGAGTTTAGCGATCCGAAGCTATCCTGACAAGTGTAGTTCTAAAACCGACTCAATCAAAAGCATTCGACACTACTAAATTGTCTGTCTCTAGACTTGTAAACCAGTAAACTTTAATTTCTTGTCCCCAAGCATTGCGAAGGGGAATGAATGGTAAAACAGAAAGTTGCTGCATCAGAGAACTAAAGCCATATTTGCAGATGGCTTAGAACTCGATAACAAAGTTGGCTCTGACATTCACTGACCGATGCTCTTAATCAAAAATGAACATACGACTGGACCAGCGCGTTACAGCATCTTCCAAGCAGATTTGCGTTTTGACTTCTGCCAACAAATGGAACGACCTACAGTTTATGCTAAGCCGCCTCCGAACGGCCGATGGTGTTTAATGAGGAGCTTTTATTTCATGGCAGAAATCCACTCGGAGGGCTTGGCATATCTTGACGGTAGGAAATTAGATAATTAATTTTCTATAATTTATGAATGTTGTTGGTCTGACTAGAAGTCGAACGCTGATCTTCCGAGTGGCAGTACTCACTGCTAACCACTACTCGGCTAGGACGGCCGACAAATTAGTCTTTGCTAAAAAACGAACATCAGATGGCTGAATGAGCTCATGTACAAAGTGCTTTCAAACCGGTTCTCCATTAATGTATCGACGGATGGAATAAGTTCACACTTGATATGGAGGCTTCACGGCAAGGAATAGGTAACTGCTCTACTGATCTTTGAGGTGATTCTAGAGACGATGAAAAATGGAACTCTGTTGAGCATTACCTCTGCCGCTATATAGGCTAAAAAATTGCGTAACGTAAGCTCCTCGCAGACTAGTTTCAGTAAATATCAGCAATCATAAGGCACACTGCTCGTAAGTAGGTCCCGAATTTGAGCAGGTTATATAAGAAAGGATATTACGCTGAAGTCTCTCTCCTACTACAAACGCAACATCAAAAATTCACCCTCCTCTTTATCGTCTTAATATCTATGACTCGTAAATTGCAAATTCTGGATGGCGATGATATCCGATTTAAACTTTCCAACGACCTCAAGCAGCTGATCAGCGACATCTTCCCAGCTCAAGGAGACGACATATTAGCACCCACATTCTAAAAACTTTTTTGAGACGTTATGACTCCTCTGTTGTTGAGATTACCGCATTCAGAAAACACTTTTCTTTTATTTTTTTGGTGATCTGAATCTTCGGGCACTTTCTTAGCGGAAGTAATTGTCAAAACAAATAATGGCCGCAGAAAAAAATTTCTTTCTTCTAACCCTAGGTGATAATTAGCATATTCTACCTCGAATGAGTTTCATATTCTAGGTTATGTTTGCTTTTAAAACATTGCTTCGTAAATTCGAGTCACGAGCGTGGCCACAGCGGCACGAGTTTTATGCTTTTCTTTTTCCAATTAAATATTTCCCGACCGACCTACTTATTTATGTATGTACCGCTATTTGTGCTAATTCATTACATTTCATGTGACTGAAGACCATTGATAAGTTAACGACTTACCTGCGGCGTGCGCGTATCATCAACACCTCCAGTGCCAGCACCTCCCACACCAACCGTCGCACCCACGGCCGAGTAATTACACTGGCAGCCCTCCTCACAGCACAAACGCACCAATTCGTGTTCGCCGCATGTGCAGGGCTCCTCGTCCTCCTCATCGTAAGCACAATCCTCACGTATCAAAATAATATAATCCGCCTCGAAGAATTCATTGCGTGTCTCATCGAAGACTACACGATTCTTACGCGCCGGCGGCGGACGATTCGGTTTTTTGAGCAGACCGCGCAACTGACCGTTAACTTCACGCATTTTGACAGCTGTTACAGCGGCGGCGGCGGCGGAGGCGGCGACAGCGGCGGTGGTGACGTTTAAACTTTGGTATTTTCTTTGGTTGTTGCTTTGGTTTTGTTGATTTTTGGTTTGTTTTGTTAGGTTATGCTTAACTGCACTTTGGCTTATTGTATTTGGTAAACAGTATGTTGTTGTTGTTGTTTCGGTGACACACGATTTTTCGGGTCGTTCGCTCACGTCAGTCACCACGTCGGACGCGCACGATACGCTCGGCTTTAAATGAGCTGCGTAATTGCTTTCACTCTTCACTAACAAAATATTCTTTACACTTTTTTCAAATTTATAATTGCTGTTGTTTCTGTTGTTGTTGTCTAACAATTGATTTTCATTTACTTCCACAACACAATCCACACAATCACAAATCGAATTTGTATCATCGACCGCATTCACATCGGCAACGGCACTCGCTTGGACACCATCAACCGCGTCAATACCGATTGACGAGACTTCGTCGAATAATTCGTCGTAACATATGTAAGCGGCGGTATTCGCAAATGCGTTCACAGCGATTGGTGGTGGCGGTATGTCAAAGCTTCTGCCACGGCCTGAGCCTCCGTCACCGATTCGATTGATTTCACACTTCTTTGTGTTGTGCACGAAACAGAAATTTTGATTTGTGTCCACGCCAACGGACAATGGCTTTGTACTTGTTGCTGCTGTTGTTTTTGACGGGTCTACGTAAGCAACGCCACCGATGATATCACTCAAGCGACGCGCATCAAACTCGGATGATGAATGGCCCAAGAGTGGATAAAAAGCGTATATGGGCTGATAGGTGCTGACTGTGCTGTCGTTGTTGTCGATGGGTTGGGGTGTTGAGTAGTAATCGAAATGGTTATAAACGTTGCAGGCTGTTTGTTCCACGCTGTTGTTGCTGTAGTAAAGAAACGGTCCTGCTGATGCGGGTTTAGTGGCAACGAATGCACTTAGGCGTTCCCCAAAGCCCAAAGCCGCTTTAGGTGGTGGCGGACGCGGTGGCGGTGAGGGTGTTGATGGTGGTGAAACTGCAGCTGTTACTTCTACACCTGACTCAACTAAATCCTCCGCCGGTTCGCGTTGATACGGCTCCTCTGCCTCTGTCTCCGCTGTGGTTTGCGTTGGATGGAAAGCCGTCGAATTGCACGGTAATGTTTTCAAATTATTATTTGTTGTTGTTTTTATAATGACATTTATTTCAGCACTCTCCGTTGCACATGCAGTTGCGTTGGTCAGTAGCGCCGTTGACGTGCGTGTCTCGCCGCTATGCCTCGCATCTGTACGAGCACTTTGTTTATGGCTCGCAGTCGCGTGTGGAAATATTTCCACGCGTTTTTTGTTATTGTTTATTTCGAATTCACTGCTGGCATTCGTCCCATTCGTCACATTCGTTGGGGTGGTTGTAATTTCACTACACACCGCAATGCTCTTCTCCTTCACCGTCTCTGTCTCCCCCTGTTGCTGCGGCTCGGCTTTATTAACTATTTGCTCGGTGTGCTTCTTCTCTGCTGCCTTTCGTTGGCCAACTGCTGCTATTTTTACCTCAGCTAGATTTGTATTGTGTACCGTTAGTTTATCACTGTCACTGCCACTAGTTGTTAGCAGCGAGTGTGCGGCTAGCGCTCGTTGTTTACCAGCGAATTCGGCTGCCTGCTGTGCTGCGTCGCCTGCTGTCTCCCCGAGTGCTATTCTCGCCTCTTGCTCGTTACTTTTTCTACAGTCGCTGATTGTGGCGCTCGTCGCTTGTGTGACAGCAGTTGCGCACTCGTTGCTAGGCCAGCTGTAAGGTGTAAAAGCGTCGTTAATTTCCTCTGTATTATTAGTTTGTTGATTACAACTATGCTTAAGCTCTTCGTTATTGTTGTTGTCTGCTAAGTTAACACCATCGTCACAACGAGTTGCTGTTGTTAATTGATTGACACTTGGATTTTCAATGCCCGCCACTTGCTGGCGTTCTGTCGAAGCTATTTTTGGCGACCCTAAGCGTTTGTTTTCAACACCTCCGCTCGTCGTCGAAACCCACCTTGTCGCGCCCCCTGTGATTTGTCCAACCGCAAGTGTTGTTGTTATGATTTTTGCTGTTCTCACTGCGCTTTCGGCAGCGTTTGGTACACCACACGGTACAATTTCCTTGGTAGCGTGGGCTTTGTGCACTTCACCGTTTCTATTATCCTTACTTAGTAGAATATCCTTCGTTATTGACGCCGCAGTCGGTCTAGCATTGACGCTGCACACTTGCTGCGCTCTTGCTGGCGCCGCTTTCCTCAACGAGTTGCAGTTGTTGTTGCGCTTACCTTCAATTGGTTCGCCTTCAATGTAAAGTTTCAAGGCTTCCACCGTCTCTATCTTGTGAGTTTGTTGTTTGGTGCGGGGCACGTCGCTTGCGTCCTCCGCTAGCGCCTGCTTCACGTTGTGTTCCTCGTCAGCGATTTTTTGTAATTTCCACTCTTCCTCACCTCTGCTCACTTGTTCATTGGCATGTTGCTCTGCTTCGTTTACGTGCTCTCTTTCCTCCTCCTTTTCTTTTTCTTCTTCTTCTTCTTCTTCTTCTGTTTTTAAATGATTACGTGTCACGCATATCAATCCACGAAAATGTTGTTGTAAGCGTTGCAAACGTTGACTAGCTGCGAACTCATCGTAGCTGTTATCACTTTTGGGGTTGGAGGTTGTGCGGTGTGCACGCGTTCCCCTGGTTTTTATTTCTGGTACGACGTGTTGTGGCGCTTTATCAGCGACGTCGTGTATCCTTACATCGGCTTTGGTATTTTGTGTAGGCACAAGTACTTTAACTACCTCACTCAAGTTCGCATTGTGTGACTGCTCCTGTGTTTGGGGCTGTAGCTGAAGCTGTGTCTTTACAGTAGCAAGAGGCTCCCCATACTTTTCCTTTACGTCTAGCCTAAATATCGCTTTATCCTTCTGTTCCTCACACGGCTTTTGTTCTGCGCTTCGTGTAGTGTGCTCGAAGTATAAGCTCGTAACTTTAGTTTCACCCCTCGCCTCGTCGATAGTTTTTTGTGTTGCAGCAACTTGAACTAAATTGTCAGTGCACCCTAACCGCACTTTGTGTGGCGTACTTTCACTTAGTGGCAGATTAGCGTCGTTTGCTGAGTGCGTGTTGATCGTTCTCGCCTCTTTAAACACTTCTACATCCGCTGTGTTGGGCTCTACGGGCACATGGGCAGACACTTGTGCCGCCGCCGTTGACGTTTGTTGTGCGTTGTTGTTGTTGCTGTTGCTGTTGGCACTTGCACTTTCTTGTGTACCGTTAGTTTTGCGTCCACTTTCAACGAAAATTGCACACTTCAAAATTCTTTCACTGCATTTTTTCGCTTCGTTTGCATTTTCTTTACACCGTTCTATGAGTTTCTTCGCTTCTTCTTCTTGCACGCCGTCGCTTTGGAGGCTTGTTTCTTTTGATTTTTCTGAATTTTCTACTTTTCTGTTGTAGCGCGTCGTCGCTTGTAGGAGTTCCTCCAGCACAACTGCCCCAATTGGGCTGCTAATTACGGTGTTGCAGTGTGTGGCAGGGTTGTTTGGCGTGTCGCGCGTCTCGCTTTCATTAATAACTTCACAGCTAAGCTTGCAAGCTGCTACACTTGTTTGACCCCTCACCAACTGCTGTGGTGCTTTAGACAAGTTCTCTTGGCCCTTCGTCTGCTGTATGCGCGACGTCTGCTGGTGTTTCTGCTTTTGTTCGCGCAGTTGTTGTAGCGCTGCTTGCTTTCTTTCGTCGTTTTGTGCTTCGTATTGTGTTTGTACGTCGCACTCCGGCCTCTCTGTCTGATGCTCTAACACGCCAGTAAGCTGTATCCTCGTTAAGGTTTCGTCGTCTGTTATACCCCACCTCCGTGAGGCATAGACATTTTCTTCATTCACTTTATATACTAATAATTCGTTGTTGTTGTTGTTGTTTACACTGTTATTTTGTTGAATGAGCGCAACATTGGCCGCCTCGCTTACAGGCCGTAGCAATGGGAGCTTTTGTTGATGGCGTTGACTGCCGCCGTCGTCGTCGTCGTCGTCGTCGTCGTGTTCGTGCTCGCGTTCGCGTTCGCGGTCGTCGCTGCTACTCGCAATGATAATATTAAATTTCTGTTGCGAATTATGTATTCGTTGCGCTCGTTGCGTATTCGTTGAATCGAAGTAAGTGCCTAATCCAATGTTTGCACCGTCTGCAACACTGGCTGTGTGGGGATGCTCTGCTAATACCTCGTCGAAGTCTTGCTCCTCTTCTTTTTCTTCTTCTTCTTCTTTTTCGGATTGTCTGCGGTTTGTAAGCGTAAGTCCTTTGTCAGCAAATTGCTGGCATAATATTTGTTTAGATTGATTTCTGCTATGCTTTGCAGCACTCACTTTCGGCCATTTTTCGATTTCTTCTACATTCGCTTTGTTGTCCGCTTCGTTAGCTTTAATTTCAACCTTCTTTTCACCACAATTCACTACACTTTCTTTACTGATTTCTTTCTCGATTTGTTGCTGTTGCTCTTTTTGTTGTTGCTGCTGCTGCTGCTTTGTTGTTGTGTTATTCACAGCGGGTGTAGATAATTCGTTTGAAAATAATTTTCCAGCCTCAAATAACCAGTCGGTGGAAGCACAACTCCTGCTCCACTCTCCGTTTTCTTCGTCTATCTCAGCTGTTTCTTCAATGAAATTGCAATTTTTGGCGACTTTAAACTTTTCATTTGCCTTTAATGCAGTCCCGCTGCCAATATGCTTTTCAGCGTAATTATCGTTGAATTTGTTGTCTTCAACTTTTTCAATGTTTTCATGAATGGCCTTTGTGGTATCTACACAAGTAGGGAAACGTCTACGACTGCAGTGGCTGCTGGTACCGTCATTAGTCGCTCCGTTCTGTTCACCCTCCTCCTCTTTCTCGTTGTCTTTGCCGTCGTCGTCGTCTACGTCTCTGACGCCACATCCAACGTCTACGCTCTCGGTCTCAGATTGGTCAGCCAATGAATTTGCCTCTTCACGGATACACTTCAACTCAGGCGTATCATTTAAATTATATAAATACTTCTTATCATCAGCACTGAGTTGCACAAACTTTTCCAAATTTTCAACACACTCAATATATTCACGATTTGCACAAACACCTCCCTTACCGTTATACACTAAAACATACACTTTCTTCTTGTCAGTAGCTTGCAATTTTTCAATTTTCCAATTTTTTCTTCGTGAGTTAAGTAAATTTTCTTTCTCAGCTGCTTCAGCCTTTTCAGCTGCTGCTGCTCCAGCCACACGTCGTACTCGTATGTCGTTGTCCTCGTCGTCGAACTTGGCTACACTGTGTTGTGCTTTCACATTCACCACGCTTATGCTGCTTGCGCTGCATTCACTATAGCTGCTACTCGGTCTGTCTCTCGACGTGTTTTCTCCTATGGTTTGTTGTTGTGTTAAGGATTTCACTTCGTAACTCCTTACCGCTGTCACGTCCTCAGCCTGTTGGAATGTTTGGTTCGACGTTTCGCTAATGGGGAGTAACTCGCTGTTTGGCGCCACACACGCACCAGTGTCGTAGTCCTTCGTGCAATGTATTGTCGTTACTCGCTGAGTTGAGTACGGTTGTTCGTTCGTTTCGATCGATGACGAAGTTGATTTCGTCACGTCCTTTACCGCTCCCACCAAATCGTCTGTGTCGCTTTGCTGTATACTGGTACTGGTACTGTAATCATTATCATCGTCATCATCATCATCATTACGGACATCTTGTAAGCTTTTGACGACTGTGTTCTTCTGCTGGTCAGTGTTGAGCGAGTACTGTGCTGAGTTTGTTGTTGCTCTCACTGACATTTCTGTTTCTGCTACTATGCTGCTTCTTGCTGTTGTTTTTGTTTTTGTTGTTGTTGCTGCCAGAGCATAACTCGCACTCATCACAGGCATTGTTGCTGTCAATGTCGCTGTCACATTCACGGCGCATGCTCCTGCTCTCCCACCTGTGCACTGTTGCTGTTGCAGCTCGTCGTCGTCGTCGTGTTTACTCGCCACACCACCACCACCACCACCGACTTGTGTCCGCTGTGTCAACGAGTCCGCTAACCACCCAAATGTTGTTGACATTGCTTTTGTGTGCACTCTACTCGTCACTGTAGTCGCTGCTAAGCTGGACGTATCTGTTATGGCAAAGTGACACTGCTCTGGCATTACCGTTGTTTGTGTCACCGCTTTATGGATATCTTTTGTCTCTACTACTGCCATTCCCACCGCATCGCCACACCTCGTTGCGCGTACGACGTCCCACGGGTGCAATGCAAGTGCTACCTCGACGCATGCCTCCTCCTGTGCCGTGCATTCAATGGGCTCGAAAGTCACCGCTGCCAATGGTGTTTGTATTTCTATATCAGACGGCGTTGTGCACTGATGCATTGTACGCTCGCTGCCCTCCGTACTACCGTCGCTACTAAAACTACCAGCAATCGACCAACAGCTACTACTACAACAACAACTCTCATGCATTGTTGTGTTCCTATTGGCACCGCAAGCACTTCCGCTGTTGCTCCCATTGCTGTTGTCGCTTTGACTTTTATTGTCATCAACAAAGCGCAGCGTTGCATTGTTACCCCCCTCGTCGAGACGGCGGTGGCCGATTGCTTTAGCTGCAGTTGTGCCTGTGGCTGTGGTTGACGTCGTCGTCGTCGCTTTGGCGCTTGGTTGCGTTGTACTTTTGTTATTACTTATTGCCAATTGTTCTTTGTTGGTGGTTAGTGGTATTGCTGTTGTTGTTGCTTTTGCTGCTTTTAGTAAGTTGCCAACAATTATTTGCTGCTGTTTTTGTTGTAATTCATTTGCGGTTTGCACACTTTGCTGTTGTTGCTTTGTGCGCTCACTTGTCATTTTGTCAATTGCTTTTGCCGCTGTTGCTGCTCCTGCTGCTGTTGTTGTTGTTGTTGGTATTAGTGGTCGCAAACTAGTTGCCACATCTGCCACCTCTATACCCTCCGTCGCCGCAATGTCGTTAACTGCTGATCGCTGTTTGTTGGCCGTGGAGAAAATCAGTAAATCGAGGAACATCATGTTTTTTGTCGGGACATTTCAGATTGGTTGGTCCGAAGTCCGAAGTCCGTCGTTGAACACGATTTTCAATCGAATTAAAACTGTGAATAAACCAAAAAATGAGGAATCAGTTTAGTTTTAAGGAGAAATTTGCAATAATTTTTCAAAAACTCAATCTCTGAAGTCCCAATAACTTATTCAGCATAAAGGGTGTTTTTCTGGGACGTATAGCTTTCAAGGAGGCACTACTATGAAGTAGGCATGGAATGTCAACACCTTCGAGTGAAATAAAGCTTCTCATAAAAAAAACATCAGCCGTTCGCCCCCTCCGAACTGCAGGTCCCTCCATTTTTTGAAAAAGGTTAAGACTTAGACCATAAATTGCAGAAGCAGCTCGGCCGAAAGTCGCTTCAGCGGAAATTATGATATATACATATATAATGTTGCGAAGCTGATCTTTTTTGAAAGCTGTTACCCACATCCATTTCATTAGTTCGGAGCAACGTTTGCCAATCATGCAAATTACCAAAATGAATGGTACGGTTCGGGTAAAGCATCCAATAATCGGTCGACATAATCGCCCAGCAGAGACGGTAATTCGAGCAACTATCGATCGGTTTCAGTGAATGCTGAATTCATAATGCGCGTCCTCCGAGACGCCATACAGTGCGCACCGAAGACCATATTGCTACTGTGGAGCAGAGTATCGATAAAGACTCAAATGAGTCCATCCGCCAAAGCGCGTAATATTTGGAGCTGTGCGAATTCGTTGTATGGAAGATTTTGTGGCAGGATCTTGGTTTGTGGGCTAACAAAATCCAACTCGTTCAAAAATTGAAAACGAACGATCAAAATTTGTCGCATTTGGAATGATGATAGTCCACAAGGCATTGTTAAAACGTCGTTACATCCTCAAAAAGTCAGTGATTGGGGGTTATGTGAAGTCACTTCTCTACGGAGATAAACCCGAGACAATTGACGCTGGATAGGAGGACAATATTAGGCATGTTATTACTGGCATACGGTATACATTGTAGCGAACAGTGGCCGTAAATTTGATTGTTTTCAAAAATTTTAAAAAGGAGACATGTTTAAAAAATGTTTTTTTGATTGAATTGAATTTTTTAAACAGGTGGCAGCACTACTCAAAAATGTATCCTCCATGGACGGCATATTTTCAATACTTTCAAATTGAAGTTTTTAAACTGGTGGCAAGACTGCTAAAAATATTTTAAAGTGTGAATAAGTGTGTTAAAGCTCAAAAAATGGTCAAAGTCGCACTTAAAGAATGAAATGTTCTATAGGGGTTTAGTCATAAGCACACAAACAACATATTTATGTATAATATATAAGAGGTGCCAACGCTTTATAAATTCACTATAAACGTTCTCAAGTTACGAGGTAAGACCAGAAATAGGTGCTGAAGTGTTTTTCGCCCGTGGTTCTCCTCTAGCTTGTGATGTGCGCCTTAATATTTTTCCAACAAAAGGAGGGACCAACAGTTTATACTAAGCCGCGTCTAAACGACCGATGAAGAGGAATACTCTCGGAGGGGTTAACATTCTATAATGAGAATCGAACGCAATTAGAAAAATTAATTTTCTATAATTCATAAATAATCAATAAGTACAATAATCTCGGATTAAACTACATTCTTTTAATGAAAAATTAAATCGGATTCTCGATTGAGCTTACATCTAATAAATAAAATTCACAGTGTTTGTAACCAAACTCCTCAGAAACGACTGGACCGATTTTTATGCAATTTTATGTACATACCTGGTAGGTATGAGAAGGGAACGTGGGACTGACCTATACGAAAAAATCCTATTTATGACTCAATTTACTTGAAATTTGGAAAATATATATGTAGAGGAATTTTCGCTGAGATTAGCAGGATCAGTCTACACTACTTTTGTCTATGGGAAGTGTTCCAGTGACCGATCAATTCGATAAAATTTTATTAGTAGGTGTAAGTGGTCTGTTGCCTACAGATTTGCTTGGTCCATTCAATAACCCACTCATACGTCGATTTAAACTGAAACTTTATATAATATCATGTGGCATCCGTTTTTATCATTTCAATGCATTATGCAGGATATAGGAATATTATATTCAAGTAAGAGAAAAAATAACTTTAAAGGCGATGTATTGGGTTAACTATTACTACAAATGTAATCTCGCCCAACTGGAAACCCTGATCTATAGTGTTTCCTGTATTAAGAACGACTGGACCAGTTTGCAATTACTTCTATTTAAATAGGCCTCAATAGCCAAGCTTTTAACACTGCGTATTTACAATTGGAAGACCAGAATTCGAAGATTTTCTAATTGCGGTCGCCCCTCTGCAGGCAATATCAACCCCTTCGAGCGTACTTCTAACATGAAATAAAGCTTTACTTTGCAGAATTTTTTTTTTACTTGACTTATACGTTCAATTAGGCGACAAAACACGAGTAAGAATTTTCCAAGGTTCGTATTTGTTGTTTTTCTTGCGCCGAAAAACTAATCCGCTACTACCATATCGTTTTCAAGTCCATTAAGATAATTCTGTTTGGGATTTGAATTATCTATAATTTTTAATCCCTCTGGATTTAATCCAAGGACGCGGTCCGCTGATATACGAAGTCTGTTTAAAAGAAAAGAAGAATTCAGAATTTTCGCGCGCTGTGTACTTGTATGAAAATTCTTTTCTTTATATTGATGCGCTTATCATATGTATGCTGGTATTATCAGCCAATTTGGATTAGTAATTTGTTGTTGACCATTCTGGAGATTAGTCACGTCTTTATGTGCATTTCGAATTTTGACTTTTGTATTAAACTTTGCGTTAAAAATGGAAAAAAGGCACATGAAATGTTGACTATGGCATACGGCAGATCCACTATGTCTCATAAAATTATTTATAAGCGGTACAAGCGTTTTACAGGAGGCTGAGAAGATGTTGACAACGACGATGATGATGAGCGTCCTGGAGTTGCAACCACGTTCGCGAGACAGTGAAAGAAGTTCTTTTGACATATCGTCTAATCACTATTAGAGATGTAGCAGTGGTTGTTGGCATATCAATCGGCTTCTGCCAAGCAGTTTTATCCATATATTTTGATCATGAAACGTACAGCGGCGAAGTTTGTTACCACTTCAAGTTCGATCAAATTTGATGGCTTCGCTCATTGTTTTTTTTTTTTATTAAAATAGCGTGGGGCGTTATGAGTTCCTGCCAATGACAATGTAACAGCTTAAATGTTTGTCTGTAAATTTGTAGCCAACAAAAGACCGTAACCATGTTCCCAATACTGAAGTGACCAATGAAAGGAAAGCGTTTTACCACATTTGATAAAATAGAGTCAGGTTCGAAGAACGAGCTGGTGACAATACCGAAAAGCGCATCACATAAGGGCTTCGAGGTGTGGAGAGCGCTGCTATAAGCCTACCTCAGAGGTTTATTGCTTTGTAGAGCACAAAATGTCTTTTGATGAATAACTCAATACTTTTCAAACAAAATTCCGAATTCCTCGTTTCTTTCGAACAGACCGCCGAGTCTGTCGAATGTCGTGAGAAATTTTTTTATTATTATTATTTTTTATTTTTTTTGGTTAAAATCACTTGCAGAAGATATGCCTTTTAAAAAGTTTGCCAATAAGAGCTTTTATTATATACTTTGAACAGCAGGCAAAAGTCACTTTTGAAGCTAAAATTATGAAAATTCACTATAAAAAAGATGAAAATCCAGCAAAGACGGTTTGTAAGACTCAAAGATTTTTCGGTCGTCGTGAGGACGAATGTAGAAATTGTTGGGAAAAAATGAAGCTGTTGGAACAAGTTAGTTTTGTGCGGAATAAAACACGTGCGCGTCTTTCAAGAACAATTGCGAACACTGTTCCTGTAACCCAAAGTGTTTAAGAAACCCCAGGTTTGTCCATTCCACGCCGTTCTATGGAATTAGGCATAGCAAAAACGTCAT